GTGATACCTCATCACATACTATGACTCGTTGTTGCCTTCCTGTCAGGTATTCTCTAATCCATTTCAGTGCCCTTCCTGTTATACACTCCTGATCCCCCAGCTTCTGCACTAATCTCCTGTGAGGAACTGTGTCGAAGTCCTTCCTTCTGTCCAGGAAAATGCAATCAACCCACCCCTCTCTCTCGTGTCTTACTTCTGTTACCTAGTCATAAAACTCCAGAAGGTTTGTGACACAGGATTTGCCTTCCATGAGTCCATGCTGGTTGTTGTTTATGGTGTTGTTTCATTCCAGGTGCTCCACCACTCTTCCTGATAATCTTCTCCATGACTTTACATACTATACACGTCAGAGACACTGGTCTGTAGTTTAGTGCCTCGTTTCTGTCTCCTTTCTTAAAAATGGGGACTACATTTGCCTTCCTCCATACCTCAGGTAGTTACCCAGTTTCAAGGGATGTATTGAAGATTGTGGTTAGTGGCATGCACAGCGTCTCTGCTGTGTGTGTGTGTGCATGCGCGTGTGCGCGTGCACGTGCTAGATAGGAGTGAATGGAGGCAAGTGGTTTTTATTAATTGATAAGCTGTTAGAATGTGAGGGAAGTAACATTTATGAAGGGATTCAGGGAAACCAGTTAGCTGACTTGAGTTCTGGAGGTGGGAAGTACATTACATACACTCTGAAGTAGGGGTGGGGATATTGCAGGTTAGAGGGGCAATCTGAGCTGTAATGTCAGTGCATCTGCAGCAAGATAGTGATGAAGTGAGTGATAAGTTTCTCTTCTTTTTGGGGGTCACCCTACCTCAGTGATCAATGGCCTGCATGTAAAAGTAAAAAGAATTATTTAAATGGTCATATTTTCTGTCATGTCTTGTACTGTATATCCTCAATTTGTATGTGGGTTCCATTCCTGAAAGTTGTCTAGTGCCATCAAAATGCACAAGGTGATGAGGTACTGCATAGGCAACACACATTAAAAATCTTTAGCTTTCATTTTGATATTGAATGCTATAATTTGTTTTTCCATGTTGATTAAATGTTTAGCTGTGGTGCACAGTCAGTGCTGCAAAAATAACATAGTGCAGGGTTGTGCTAAATAAGGACTTACTGTATAAGCAAATACTATTTTGTCTCCTTTCATATGCATCTATCACTAGAGTTTCTTCATTATATGCAATTTAGCATTTACCTCAGTTGCTTACAACAATTCATTCACCATATTGCTAATCTTTCTATTCTCCTGTTCTATTACTCCTCCATTCTACATATTGTTTATACAAAAAAATTTAATTTTTGTATTGCTTTTTATTTAATCTATTAAACTGTTTATACCACTCCTGTTCTAACCTCTTCAAAAACAACAGCATCTGTATTTTTATGTAATATTTTAGAAAGTGTGTGTTCATGTTTGCTTGATTGTTACAGTATACTGTACATACTTTTTTTTTTTTTTTTTTTAAGGGATTGTGCTCCAATTACTAGTCACCTCATTTAACCACTGGTGTGACATGATGCAGCCTTAACCTCTTGAGTTTCATCATTTGCATTTGAATTAATTTATATGGTTCTTTTTTACCTCCTACTTTATTACACTTGCTCATAAACCTCATACTGGAGATGTATCTTATGTCACTATGGTTTATTGGGGCATTAATTTTTCAATTGAGCCTCTTTTGTGATTGCTTTTTTTTTTTTTTTTTTTGTACCAAGAGCATCCTACAGAATAGATTGAGTTGATGGATGAATGAGCTTATGTGCAAGCTAGAGAGAGAGAGAGTATTAAGGATTGTTTGAATTGCATTTTGGGTATAGTATCAAGATTAAGTTAGTGTGTGTTTTAAGACTTTACCATGGAATGCATTTAACAGTTTAATATTAATGTATATCAGATTGGAGGGAGAGAGTATGGAGGAGGTAAATGTATTCAGATATTTGGGAGTGGACGTGTCAGTGGATAGGTCTATGAAAGATGAGGTGAATCATAGAATTGATGAGGGGAAAAGGGTGAGCGGTGCACTTAAGAGTCAGTGGAGACAAAAAACTTTGTCCTTGGAAGCAAAGAGGGGAATGTATGAGAGTATAGTTTTACCAACACTCCTGTATGGGTGTGAAGCATGGGTGATGAATGTTGCAGCGAGGAGAAGGCTGGAGGCAGTGGAGATGTCATGTCTGAGGGCAATGTGTGGTGTGAATATAATGCAGAGAATTCGTAGTTTGGAAGTTAGGAGGAGGTGCGGGATTGCCAAAACTGTTGTCCAGAGGGCTGAGGAAGGGTTGTTGAGGTGGTTCGGACATGTGGAGAGAATGGAGTGAAACAGAATGACTTCAAGAGTGTATCAGTCTGTAGTGGAAGGAAGGCGGGGTAGGGGTCGGCCTAGGAAAGATTGGAGGGAGGGGGTAGAGGAGGTTTTGTGTGCGAGGGGCTTGGACTTCCAGCGGGCATGCGTGAGCGTGTTTGATAGGAGTGAATGGAGACAAATGATTTTTAATACTTGACGTGCTGTTGGAGTGTGAGCAAAGTAACATTTTTGAAGGGATTCAGGGAAACCAGCAGGCCGGACTTGAGTCCTGGAGATGGGAAGTACAGTGCCTGCACTCTGAAGGAGGGGTGTTAATGTTGCAGTTTAAAAACTGTAGTGTAAAGCACCCTTTTGGCAAGGCAGTGATGGAGTGAATGATGGTGAAATTTTTTCTTTTTCGGGCCACCCTGCCTTGGTGGGAATCGGCCAGTGTGTTAATAAAAAAAAAATTAATGTATATTGTAGGTAGTAGGTTGGTAGACAGCAACCACCCAGAGAGGTACTACCGTCCTGCCAAGTGAGTGTAAAATGAAAGCCTGTAATTGTTTTACATGATGGTAGGATTGCTGGTGTCTTTGTCTCATAAACATGCAAGATTTCAGGTATGTCTTGCTACTTCTACTTACACTTAGGTCACACTACACATACATGTACAAGCATATATATACACACACCCCTTTGGGTTTTCTTCTATTTTCTTGCTAGTTCTTGTTCATGTTTATTTCCACTTATCTCCATGGGGAAGTGGAACAGAATTCTTCCTCCGTAAGCCATGTGTGTTGTAAGAGGCAACTAAAATGCCAGGAGCAAGGGGCTAATAACCCCTTCTCCTGTATATGTTACTAAATGTAAAAGGAGAAACTTTCGTTTTTCCTTTTGGGCCACCCCGTCTTGGTGGGATACGGCTGGTGTGTTGAAAGATGATGATGATTAATGTATATACAGTGATCCCTCAATAATCGTCCGGCCTGAAAGTCGTCCATTTCGGAAATAGTCCTGTTTTTTCGTCTAAATATTGGCTCGCAAATGGTCCATTAACTCGCTGATCGTCCTTCGTCCGGGACGGGTACTCACGCTCTGAGCCGCCTGGGCCTGCCTTCCCAGCCAGTGTGCCATTGTTTACCAGTGAGTGATGGTCCCCTCACATGCTCCTACAAAATATTTCATAATATTCCATTGATTTTAGTGCTTGCAAGTACTAAATAAGCTACTGTGGCTCCAAAGAAAGCTTCTAGTGCCAGCCCTTTGGTAAAGAATGTGAGAAACACACAATTTATGAAAAAGTTTGTAGAAAAATACAAAGATGGTGGTGGTAGAGTGGAAGCAGTTGTGATAGTGGTTGATGAACATAAGAAAGGAGGATCACTGCAGCAAGCCTGTTGACCCATGCTCGGCAGGTCATCCCACTAACGAAACATTTTCCCAACCCAGTCCTCAATGCTACCCAAGAAATAAGCTCTGATAACTCTATCCACTCATTTGCAAGTCCCACTCATTTGCTTTCTATTGGTAAGCCATTTCTCTATCCATGCTAGAACTTTACCTCCTATACCATGAGCTGCCACTTTTTTCAAGAGTCTCCTGTGAGGTACTCTATCGAAGGCTTTACTAAAATCCAAATAAACAATATCATATTCCTTATCACTGTCAACTGCCCATACTGGCCCATACAAGGCAGGTCCTTATCAAAATGACCTCTACCCAAAGCTACCCAAGAATTTACTCCCGTACCCAATGACACAAATCAAACTCGGCTCCTCCAACTCATATATTTGTCCAATCTCTTCTTAAAGCTACCCTACTGGTAAGTGTGATGTTAAATAAGAACTTAAGAAAGCAGGAACACTGGAACAGGCCTGCTGGCCCATACTAGGCCGGTCCTTCACAAATCCAACCCACTAACAGAACAAATGCTACCCAAGCAATAAGCTCAGGTGCAAGTCCGACTCAAATCCAACCCCTCTCACTCGTGTATTTATCCAACCTAAATTTGAAACTACCCAAGCCATAGCTTTTAGAACATTGGAAAGGAGGAACACTGCAATAAGCCTGTTGGCCCATACTAGGCCAGTCTTTCACAAATCCAACCCACTAACAGAACAAATGCTACCCAAGCAATAAGCTCAGGTGCAAGTCCGACTCAAATCCAACCCCTCTCACTCGTGTATTTATCCAACCTAAATTTGAAACTACCCAATGTTTTAGCTTCGATCACCCTACTAGGCAGACCGCTCCACTCATCAACTACCCCTATTACCAATGTTCATTTATACATTTTATTAGTGCCCTAGAGTCCTTATGGAGGGGGATTCCCCTTCCAAATAACCTCTCTTCCCTCTCTCCTCCTCCCTGTCTTCCATTCATCATCAACAGCCTTCAATAAAGGTAACTGTCATGTTGAATGTTCATTCTTTTGTGCATGTAAATCTATCTTTTAGGTAAAAATAAAATTGTTGTTGATACTTCTGGGTGTCTGGAACGAATTAATTGGATTTACATTATTTCTTACGGGGAAAATTGATTCGAAAATCGTCCATTTTGATAATAGACCCACTTCCAGGAATGGATTATGGACGATTATTGAGGGACCACTGTATTTATTTTGTTTTCTTGTATTTAATATACTGTATGTAATTTTTGTATTTTCATTGTACAACAGTTTTCCTTATGCTTAGGTGTAATGACTACCTTTTGTATTACAGAAACTTACCAGTTACCGAGGAAGTACATCAGAGGTTTGGAATTAGCAGGGAAAAGCAAGAAATAATTTTTCTTGCAAATCATTCAGCCATTAATGGTCAGAATGTTTCTTTAATTCACATATTGATATGAAAGGTTTAATTTTATTAGTAAATGTCAAGGTACAGGCATCATCAGTAAGTCAGAACAAGGCTTCAGAATTGGTACATTGCTAAAAAAAAAAAAAAAAAAAATCTGACTCGGTTCCAATTTATTTCATAGCATATTAACAGCAACTAGAGAACTGTTTTATCCATGAAGCATCATTGTCTTGCACTTCCTTGATTTAATAAAAAAGAATGAGTTTTTATACTATATTTTTTTATTAACCCCTTTTAATACATATGATTTCCATAAAAATATTTTCTAAAATTATAATCCTCTAATAGAATGTGTACCATTCTCACCAATTAGGTATGCATGTATTTATATTAGTTTTGTTACATTTGTAGATCATACACATTATACCAAGTAAAGTTTATTGTGGCAGAAATACTGGGGAAAAGCACAGGAAGTAGGATTGTAAAAAAACAAGGTGGATTTAGGTAATAATGGAGCTATGTGGATCAAGGATTTGCATTAACTTTAAAGGGGCTGTTATGTACAGTAGGGAACCAACTTGCGATGTTAGTGCTCTCCAGAAAAATAATCTTACTCAGAACCTATTTTCCTGTAAGAAAAGATGTAAAATTAATTACAGTACAGTGGACCCTCAACCAATGGCTTTAATCCATTCCAGAGAGCTAGCCTTCAGTTGAATTAGCCATTAGTCAAATTAATTTTCCCCATGAGAAATAATGGAAATCCAATTAATCTGTTTCAGACAGCTGAAAGTATTAACAAAAAATATTTTTTTTAAAGATTAAATATACATACAGAAAACAATGACAAATAAATATAAAGCATATAAGCGACTATTGGCAGAAAGGTGGGCTAGTGCAAAGATGAGTAGTGGGGGGGAGGGGTTGAAGAGGGTTGGAATAGTTTTAAAAATGCAGTATTAGAATGTGGGGCAGAAGTTTGTGGTTATAGGAGGGTGGGGGCAGGAGGAAAGAGGAGTGATTGGTGGAATGATGAAGTAAAGGGTGTGATAAAAGAAAAAAAAAGGTAGCTTATGAGAGGTTTTTTACAAAGCAGAAGTGTTATAAGAAGAGCAGAGTATATGGAGAGTAAAAGAAAGGTAAAGAGAGTGGTGAGAGAGTGCAAAAGGAGAGCAATGATAGAGTGGGAGAGGCACTGTCAAGAAATTTTAATGAAAATAAGAAAAAATTTTGGAGTGAGTTAAACAAGTTAAGAAAGCCTAGGGAAAGTATGGATTTGTCAGTTAAAAACAGAGTAGGGGAGTTAGTAGATGGGGAGAGGAGGTATTAGGTAGATGGCGAGAATATTTTGAGGAACTTTTAAATGTTAAGGAAGAAAGAGAGGCAGTAATTTCATGCACTGGTCAGGGAGGTATACCATCTTTTAGGAGTGAAGAAGAGCAGAATGTAAGTGTGGGGGAGGTACGTGAGGCATTACGTAAAATGAAAGGGGGTAAAGCAGCTGGAACTGATGGGATCATGACAGAAATGTTAAAAGCAGGGGGGATATAGTGTTGGAGTGGTTGGTACTTTTGTTTAATAAATGTATGAAAGAGGGGAAGGTACCTAGGGATTGGCAGAGAGCATGTATAGTCCCTTATATAAAGGGAAAGGGGACAAAAGAGACTGTAAAAATTATGGAGGAATAAGTTTACTGAGTATACCAGGAAAAGTGTACGGTAGGGTTATAATTGAAAGACTAAGAGGTAAGACAGAATGTAGGATTCGGATGAGCAAGGAGGTTTCAGAGTGGGTAGGGGATGTGTAGATCAAGTGTTTACATTGAAGCATATATGTGAACAGTATTTAGATAAAGGTAGGGAAGTTTTTATTGCATTTATGGATTTAGAAAAGGCATATGATAGAGTGGATAGAGGAGCAATGTGGCAGATGTTGCAAGTGTATGGAATAGGTGGTTAGTTATTAAATGCTGTAAAGAGTTTTTATGAGGATAGTGAGGCTCAGGTTAGGGTGTGTAGAAGAGAGGGAGACTATTTCCCGGTAAAAGTAGGTCTTAGACAGGGATGTGTAATGTCACCATGGTTGTTTAATATATTTATAGATGGGGTTGTAAAGGAAGTAAATGCTAGGGAGTTGACGTGTCGGCAGATGGATTTATGAAGGATGAGGTTAATCATAGAATTGATGAGGGAAAAAGGTGAGTGGTGCGTTGAAGTATATGTGGAGTCAAAAAACGTTATCTATGGAGGCAAAGATAAGATAAGATAAGATTTCGTTCGGATTTTTAACCCCAGAGGGTTAGCCACCCAGGATAACCCAAGAAAGTTAGTGCATCATCGAGGACTGTCTAACTTATTTCCATTGGGGTCCTTAATCTTGTCCCCCAGGATGCGACCCACACCAGTCGACTAACACCCAGGTACCTATTTGCTGCTAGGTGAACAGGACAACAGGTGTAAGGAACCGTGTCGAAATGTTTCCACCCGCCGGGAATCGAACCCAGGCCCTCCGTGTGTGAAGCGGGAGCTTTAGCCACCAGGCCACTGGGCCACCAAAGAAGGGAATGTATGAAAGTATAGTAGTACCAACACTCTTATATGGGTGTGAAGCTTGGGTGGTAAATGCAGCAGCGAGGAGACGGTTGGAGGCAGTGGAGATGTCCTGTTTAAGGGCAATGTGTGGTGTAAATATTATGCAGAAAATTCGGAGTGGAAATTAAGAAAAGGTGTGGAGTTAATAAAAGTATTAGTCAGAGGGCAGAAGAGGGGTTGTTGAGGTGGTTTGGTCATTTAGAGAGAATGGATCAAAGTAGAATGACATGGAAAGCATATAAATCTATAGGGGAAGGAAGGCGGGGTAGGGGTCGTCCTCGAAAGGGTTGGAGAGAGGGGGTAAAGGAGGTTTTGTGGGCATGGGGCTTGGACTTCAGCAAACGTGTGTGAGCGTGTTAGATAGGAGTGAATGGAGACGAATGGTACTTGGGACCTGACAATCTGTTGGAGTGTGAGCAGGGTAATATTTAGTGAAGGGATTCAGGGAAACCGGTTATTTTCATATAGTCAGACTTGAGTCCTGGAAATGGGAAGTACAATGCCTGCACTTTAAAGGAGGGGTTTGGGATATTGGCAGTTTGGAGGGATATGTTGCGTATCTATATATGTGTATGCTTCTAAACTGTTGTATTCTGAGCACCTCTGCAAAAACAGTGATAATGTGTGATTGTGGTGAAAGTGTTGAATGATGAAAGTATTTTCTTTTTGGGGATTTTCTTTCTTTTTTGGGTCACCCTGCCTCGGTGGGAGACGGCCGACTTGTTGAAAAATAAAAATAAAATAAACCCTCTCAAACTTCTTGATAGCTACAACAGAACACATGTACAACACAAGCCACAAAAGACTCTTCGACATCCTTCATGTCTGTTTCACCCTGTTCAAAAATGCTGTGCACATAAAGGGCCCTAAAATCTGGAATTCATTAACTGAACCAGCAAAAGGGCCCCTGCCTGCCAGTTAATTTAATCATATTTAAAAATCATCTATGTCCCAAAATTAACCATACCAACACTATGCTAAATCATTCATCCTGTGTTAAACAACTCGAAAAATCCCAAAAAACTCAGGACCACTTGATTGATTTAAAGCATTAATACATGCTTAAAACTGTAGTGTTGTAATTTTGTGAATTGTAATACGTACTGTTATTTGTTTTTTGCCGCCTCACTACTGTAAATTTTATTCATAAAATTTCTGGCTACCTCACTTTAGTAATAAGGTAAAAAATGAATAATAATGATAATACAGTGGAACCTCGGTATACGACCAGCTCCCTACTCAAACAAAGCTCAGCACTCGACCAAACAAACACGACCTGCCAGAGCTTTGCTGTAAACTATTTCGCGTTTCTTCGCATTTTTTGGTCTTTTTTTGTATTATTTGTATAAATAAAGTCACTATGGGGCCTACAAAGATTAGTGATAACAGCCAACCAAAGAGAAAATTGGTTGGGATGAACGTGTTCGATACTCAGAGCGGCACTCGAACAGCCTTCTGGAATGAATTAAGGTCGCATGCCGAGGTTCTACTGTATTTTATTTTGACATGATACATAGTTGTACAAAGAAATATAATGGTTGAGCATACATGCCAAAAGCCCCCTTGTATGCAGAGCATTTCGGGCAAACTTAAAATTAACTTAAGATTAATTAAGCTATAACAGATTAAATGGTCATTAGGTGACTTACAGTGAGTACAGAGACTTGAGCATTAATAGGTAATGCTATATGGCTTTAATAGGTCTAGTAGAGAAGTTTAGTAGTGAATAATTACAGTTTTGAATTATTTTATAAAAATTACAGTACGTACGTATTGCAATAGAACTTAGTGAGTACAGAGACTTGAGCATTAATAGGTAATGCTATATGGCTTTAATAGGTCTAGTAGAGAAGTTTAGTAGTGAATAATTACAGTTTTGAATTATTTTATAAAAATTACAGTACGTACGTATTGCAATAGAACAATTTACAATATGAAGTACAAGTGAGTATTTAAAACGATGAAATTTGAACATTACAATTTTACAATAGAACACTTTAAACAACTTACTATATGAAGTACAGTGGTACCCCGAGTTTCGGCCATAATTTGTTCTAGAAGGCTGTTCGAGTGCTGTTACCAAATGAATTTGTTCCCATAAGGAATAATATGAGTTAGACTAGTCCATATCAGACCCCCAAAAATACACTTACAAAAGCACTTACAATAATACACTTACATAATTGTTTGAGTTGGGAGCTGTATGAAACTCGGGGTACCACTGTATTACAATTTAGTATTTAAAACAATGAAATCTGAACATCCAATTTTTGAAGTAATGAGTACATGGATGAACAATCTTCAGCACGATATTCAGTATTGAAATTGAGACATCATTGGTACTTTTTGTGTTGCTTTTGAACAAATGGTAGGCATTAAGTACAACTTTCCTGGTTAATTTTGGGTGATGAGGAAATTTCTAAGTAGGGCTTTAAACTGATTTGCAGGAAGGGGTCCTAAATTTAGTGTGTTCTGGTAATGAATTCCAGATCTTCGGGCCTTTTACGTGCATAGCATTTTTATACAGGGAGAGATGGACACGAGGGATATCAAAGAGTGATTTGTCTTGTATTATGGTTGTGTGTTCTGTTGTAGTTAGCAAGTAGGAGTTTGAGGTTTATATTTGATTACAGTGTTCTATACATGTAGTAGGCACAATAATAAGTGTGGATGTTTTATATAATGAGTAAGTTAAGACTCGTGAAAAGCAGAGGAGTATGCTATCTATTACAGGAGTTTGTAATCGATCACACTGTAGTGTTTTGTTGGGTTATTAAAGGTTTTAAGGTGATTTGCTGTGGTTGAGCCCCATTCACAAATACCATAGGTGAGGTAAGGGCAGACGAGTGAGTGGTATAGTGCAAGAAGAGCTGATCGGGGTACATAGTACCATATCTTTGAGAGGATGCCTACTGTTTTGAAGACTTTCTTGAATATTTGCTGTATGTGAGTTTGGAATTTGAGATTGCAGTCTAGGTAGAGACCTAGAAATTTGCCGTGTGTGTGTGTCTAGAAATGGGTGAACCATTTATCAGTATGTTTAGTTGTACATTTGTAGCTCTGTTTCCAAACAGCATAAAATAGGTTTTGTCTATATTGAGAGTAAGTTTATTGGTGGTCATCCAAGTAGATATTTTTAGTAGTTTGGCATTTGCTGTGTCTGTTAGTATGGTTGGGTTTGGGTGAAAGAAGACATAAGTAGTGTCATCTGCAAATAAAATGGGCTTAAGGAGTTCAGATGCGTTTGGGAGGTCATTAGCCCTTAAACTGTCGAAATGTAGATCTACGTTCACTCGCGTGGCGCTCCGAATATTTTGAAAAAATATAAAAATATTTTTTTTTTTAAATGAAGGGCACATTTTTTACATGTTACAGGATTAAAATTTTTTTTTGGGGTCGGTACTTACCGAGATATAAGACCGTGGAGTTGGCTCTGGATGCTCATCTGATGGCAACATCGACACCTGCCACTTGCAGAAGTGTTGCCGATATACCTTTTTTCTCGTTTTCATTTTAATTTATATATTTTTTATGTTCTGTTAATTACAATTTATAATAGTTCTTGTGATTTCATAGCCAATCTTTGTTCTGACACTAATATTAGGAACTGAAATAGTACTCAAATAGTCAAAAACACTCTGACAGGTGAACATTTACACCTGCCTGGGTTATTTACTATTGTCTAGAAATATATACAAAGTATTTATAGGTCCCAGCAATGTTTTAGATACCCTGGCATATACCTTAAAGCATGGTGTTATGAAAAGCATCCCTATACTGTTGACAGCCCAGTGATATTTGATAAATGCCCACTGCTCCAGCTAACCCTCGCTGTATTTGTTATCACTGTTACACACAAACATGTATTGTCTCTCTGTCTGTCTGTCTCTCTGCTTATCTGTCTGCCTGGAGTATACATATATCACACTCCTTGAAGAATGGTGTTATGACAACTGTCATCATCTCAGTGACATTTAATAATAAATGGGTGCTTGGGGGAACCCTGGCTTTATTTGTTTTCACTGATACACACAAACATGTTTGTCCATCTGTTTATCTATCTAACTGTCTATCTATCTTTGCCTGGAATTTTTGGGTTATCCTAGGTAATTTGCACTATGTATAATAACTGTACTTATGTGTACATGTGAGACAGAGATATAGATAGACATAGACAGATATATAGATAGACAGAGATATAGATAGACAAAGATGGAGATAGATATATAGACAGAGAGACAGCCAGTGACAGCCAAAGCAAGCCAGCCAGCCTGCCGAATACATAAGAACATTAGAAAGAAGGGACACTGCAACAGGCCTACTGACCCATGCAAGGCAGGTCCATGTCACCCCTCCCCAGCTTAGACCAATGACCCACCTAGTCAGGGCACATCCATTGAAGGAAGGAGCATGACATTAGACCTAGTAGCACAAGCAAGTCAGGTCCAACTCACACCCACCCATACTTACTCATGTATTTATCTAACCTATTTTTACTTTCCTCTTAAAATGGGAGTGTTAATGCGACATGGCATCAATGAATCCCTGGTGTTTTCCACGCTATTTGCTCTAGCTGGTGCTCAGTTGAACTGGTGCTCCCACAAGGTACTAAGTGCTCCCAGATTTTTTAAATACTGCACACACTAAGTGTACAGACCCATTCTGTCATGTCTAGGCGACTCAAGCCTATTGTGCCAAATTTGAAGGAATGAAAAATAAGACATTGATCTACGTTCGGAGCGCCACGCGTGCAAACGTAGATCTACATTTGGACAGTTTAAGGGTTAATGTCACATTTTAAGTAGTCCATAAGCATTAGTATTTGTTTGCCTAAATGCTCAGGCATGTCAGTGGCTTTGTACTTAACATTTTGTAAAATGTAAATAACAAATTGTAGCCTTTGCAAAGAAATTAAAATTGTATTGCATTTGTGGCATGCAAAGAGTACGTAACCTTTATTCGGCGCACGTACACACCCTCATTTACAGGCTATCTCCCCCAACCAGCGAACCAGGTTGCTAAGAGTTGATGATGGGGCCCCGTCGTTCAACTAGTGACCAGGTTCTAGCCAATAAGAAGATGGTTTTGGCAATCGCAGAGGTTATGTGGGTACCGCTCTCCTGTCTGCCCTTGTCATTCCCATTCTAGAGCTGGTTGAAGCACGGTCTGCTATCTTGTGGCTTCTATTTCTGCTTTGCTTACCGTGGAGTGCACTATACTTATCACTGTACATAGTGTACATATTGCTGTTATAAATTGGTGAAGGATAATATAAGTCTAAACTTTTTCTGTGTTTATTTGCTCCCATTACACCCGGGGTAACAGGCCATTTGGAATCCTGGGTTGTAATAGCATTGTATGCATGCTCTCTGCCAGTCCCTAGGTACCTTCACCTCTTCCATACATTTATTAAATAAAAGCACCAACCATTTCAAAACTATATCCCCACCTGTTATCAACATTTTTGTCTTTATCCCATCAATCACAGCTGCTCTACTCCCTTTCATTCTACCCACTGCTTCATGCACTTCCTCCACACTCACAACTGGCTCTTCCTCACTCCTACAAGATGTTATACCTCACTGCCCAATGCACAAAATCACAGATTCCCTATTTCCATCAACATACAACAGTTCTTCAAAATACTATTTCCTCTATCTTCCTGATGCCCCTAACTCTCTATCTAATAACTCTTCTTTCCTATTTTTAACAGTCAAATCCATTCATTCCCTAGGCTTTCTCAACTTATTAATCTTACTCCAAAACTTTTTTCTTATTCTTAGCTCTCCTTTTACATTCCTTCACCACTCTCTTACCCCCTTTTTCTCTCCATATATACCTCCCTCCTTGTATTATATACTAACTTTTTCTCTCTTACTACACCCTTTAACTCATCATTCCACCAATCACTCTTCTTCCCTCACACACCCACTTTCCTGTAACCACAAACTTACACTGAACACTAATGCTATATTCTTAAATCTACCCCATACCTCTTCATTTTCACTGCTTATAGTCTCATTAGCCCATCTTTCTTCCAATAATTGTTTATATCTTACCCTAACTGCCTCCTTCTCTAGTTTATAAGCCTTCACCTCTCTCTTACTTGCGAAGTAAGTTTATTCAGATATACACAAATACAGTTACATAGATTGTCATACATAGCAGCATATGTGTAGAGAACCTAGGATAGCCCCAAAAAGTCAGACAGTGACTTATTTCCATTTGGGTCCTTTTACCTTATTATTATAATATACAGGTGATACTATCTTATTACTATTCTATAAAAGAGATAACATCTTATTATCGTACTGTTATGACTGACTACTACACAAGGGGTCATTAAGACTACCTACAAATAAAAAATCATTCCCCTCCCTTTCTGTAGCTACATTCATCAGGCACCTTTTGGCTCTCTTCTTGAACTGGTTCATGCTATGACTGGCTTTGACATGTGCAGGCAGTCTGTTCCATTCCTTTATTGCTGTACAATAAAACCCAAGGAAGGTTCCTTGATGTTTGTGAGGGGCTCTTGATTTAGAGAATTGGATCTGTGCTCCAGTTCCCCAAATTAAGCCTGAATGCCTTCCACATCCCCCCCAGGCGCTGTATAATCCTCCGGGTTTAGCACTTCCCCTTTGATTATAATAATAATAATAATGTACAATAAAAGGTGTTCGAAGCCTGGCCCCTAACTGTGGGTACTACAAAGTTGTGCTCTCTCCCCCTAGTAATATGATTGCTTTGGTTCCCAGCCTTCACAAAACTGGCAGCAAGATATTCTGGACACTGTTTGTGAGCAATTTTAGTTGTTTTACTCTGTCTTCAACATTCAGTATATCCAACTGCTGAAATTCATCCTGGCTTACATGCTCTCTCAGATCCAGGTCCAGGATGAATCTTACCATTTTGTTCTGGGTGATTGTGGTCTATCTTTCAGTTTTTTTTTTTGTCAAGGCAGAGTACCATGAAGAGCAAGCGTAATCCATATGACATTGTATAAGGGTTAGACATAGGGTCCTGCGAGTCTTAGTTGGTAGTCACTGTGCTTGTCTATAGGGGAAATTCAATCTGGCATTCACTTTCTTTACTACACTGTTCCCTATCAATTCTCCTGACATGCATGGGTCAAAGGGGATTCCCAGACATTTTACTGAGGAAACTGAGGTGATGGGCTCCCCATTACACTGGACATTAAAATTATTTACCGTTCTCAGTTTGTTTCGTGCCAGAGAGAATGGCTTCAATTTTCCCGAGGTGTAATGATAGTTTGTTGTCTAACCATTTGCTGCAGGACTCCAGTTCCAGTGTTAATACATTAGCTATATCTTGTGGGTCTTTACCTGACACTAACAGAGCACTGTCATTTGCATACAGTAGGAGTTTGCACTTGACACTGATAGGCATGTCATTAACATAGCATAGGAATAATAAGGGACCCGGAATACTACATTGGGGAACTCCACATGCTATCGGCAGGGGTTCTGATTCCGTTTTGTTGATTTTGACAATTTGTCTCCTGTTGCTAAGGTAGGACTTAAACCAGTCTACAGAACCTATACCGATAGCTTGAAGTTTCTTATATAATATATTGTGGTTGACAGTATCAAAGGCCTTTTGCAGGTCTAAGGTTACCATACCTATGAAGTTCCCCAATGACATTTAAGTTCTCATGTAATCCATCAAATTAATGAGGGAGGTGTCAGTTGAGTAAGATCTTCTAAAGCCCGATTGATAGCTATGGAGTATGTTGTTGTCATTAAGGTACTTAACTACTTGAGAGTACACCACCCTCTCTAGAATTTTGGATATTACACTGAGTATACTAACAGGCCTATAGTTACTTACATCAGACCTACTATTTTTCATGAAGAGAGGAGTAACTCTGGCCACCTTGAACCCCTCCGGTACGGTATTAGTGGTGATGGACAAATTTATTACGTGAGCAATAGGGATTGACAGTTCAGAAGCACCATCTTTCAGGAACTTAGATGGGATGTTAACAGGGCCGGTGCTGTTAGTGGGGTTTAACCTGCTTAGTTCTTTTTGAATAGTCATGAGATACACTTACTAGATGACAACTGTTTGGGGTTACCTCTTTATTGATATAGTATGTTTGAAACTTATCTGAGTCTGTGTTAAAGGTATTTGATGCAGCTGGTAGTTTACTTACTAGTGTTGGTGCAACAGATGTGTAGTAGAAATTAAAACAATTTGCCACCTTAGTTGTTTCGTGGCATACCTCGTTATCAATAGTGAGTACTATGTTAGAGCTATCTACTGGTTTATGGCTATACCCCAACTGTTTTAGTTGCTGCCAGAGCTTTCTGGGGTTATGCTTATACTCTTCAATTTTTGAGCAATAGTGCTTTGCCTTTGCTCCTTTTATAAGTCTCTGAACTCTGTTCCTCACCCTTTGGAATTCATTTAGTGCTGCAATATCCTGTCTGTTTGTTTTAAATATTTTTAGCAACTGATCTCTGAATTTCATATAATCTAATATCTCAGTAGTCATCCAGGGTTCAGTTCTACGTTTAATCCTAACCTCTTTAACTGGTGCAATATTATCAAGGATGGTAGTGAACACTGTTTTGAATTCTTCCCGGGCATCATTTACGTCTGTGCAACTTATCACTATCCATTCACAATTGCATAGCCTATTTACCAGTGTTGCTTTACTGTAGTTTCTAGTTGATCTCATTTTGATTGTCCTGTGTAGGCCTATCCTATCCCTAGTGATTTTCCCGGTACAGTAAATGATGAAATGATCACTAAGGCCTGTGGTAATGATGAAAACAGATATTGAAGTCTCCCAGTATTACTATCTCGCAATTGTTTTCAAGTCCGGACAAGACTGGAAAAGTGTTCTAAGAACTGGTCATGGGTAGGAGGGCGGTAACTAGTCCCTACTAAGATGGGTTTGGTCTTGGGAAGCAGCACATCAAACCATAGAATCTCCAGTTTATTGTTATTTAAATCAGGTCTTGGGTTGTAAGCTAAGTCATTTCTTGTAGGCACATACCCCACCACCTTTTCTGTTCCTATCTAAGCGTTTTATATTGTAACCTATTTTGACCTCGTCGTCAGTCACTGTATCATCCAACCAGGATTCAGAGGTGGATATTCCTGCCGCCCTAGTTCTGTTAGCTAAAATCCTAATCTCTGCCAATTTTGGAAAAAGTGATCTTGCGTTGACATGAATAAAGTGAGGCTTGTTTTCATAAAACAATTATAATCATCAATATATGGCAATGGGTCATTTATATTAAAATTAGGTAAATCAGTATCATTGTGGAAAATAATTTCCCAAAATTATGTTGTGTAAATAAACCTGATTAATACTTTACTATTGCTCTAAAGTGTATTTTAAAGAATGAACCAACAGGGAAGCTCTGTGCCTGCGCTGACAAGCAGGGGAGAGATGCCATTGTTTTTGTATGTGATACAAGCATGTTAGTGTAATGTGCATATTTTTTGTCACTCTAGGGGTTATATTGAGGCTAAAACCTCTCAAATAGGAGCCGAAATTGTTGGAATTGCAGTCCTGCTTAACGTGAGAAATCAGACGACTGGACAGGACTCCGTAATTATATGGAAACAGGATATTACCCCAGCTAAGTCATGTCTATATTTGTGTTAGAATTCTGGCCAGTAATTTCTTCATAAATTTAGGCAAGGGGGTTGGTAATATACACAGTAATCTCCAGACAAATGGATGAGTCTTATGATTATAAATTCTCCTTCTGTTACATAAATATGTATATGTAATTATTTATTAATTTTAACATACAGTCCACATATATAGATTAATGTTTACCATAATTCCTGGTAATGTATATTTCATTTGAAATTAATATAGGTCAAGAGTGACTTGTGGAGAGAAAAATTATGGTAGGTATCGAAGGGGGACATGTTTTTGTGACCAAGATGTCTTAAAATTCCTACTTGTCTCTGTAACTTTGATAAAAAAATAATTATCTTTGTTACCATTTATTGGTATGTACCTTATGAGTTACATCCGGGTAAATTTAATTTTCCACAGTCATCATTGCTAAAGGGTAACTGCACCAAAGTGCATTTGTTACACACAAAATGAATTCTGGCACCATTACTGAAATTGTACATACATCCGTTACGCACCCACCCCTTACACATTTTACATGAGGTGTCTTTTCTGTTCTTCTTTCGTATTTAGTGCAGTGTATGCACCTGTTTGGTGGTGTTTGATATAATAAGAATGGCTGTAATGTCTCACATTGGCCTATGTATGAATTACATATGGAGACCAGACCGTCATTATCACTGTCACTTATCTGTCTGTTTTGGCTCTGCACAATAGTGTGAGGTCCTGAATTAGGTTGGATATCACCACTTAACAGCGCTACTATAAGAGCTGTACTCACCTAATTGTGGTTGCAGGGGTCGAGACTCAGCTCCTGGCCACTGTTTTTGTTTGGGTATGTAGTGTTGCCATACCTTGCGGCAATAGTGACAAATACGTTTCTGGTAGAATGGCAACTGTTGGGTTTTTACTGTCCAGGGTGCTATTACCCCATTCGCCTTTTCCAGCCCCAATGACTGATTTCCTTCTTCACAGAATTGCAGGAGAAAGATAAATATAATTTTCGCAGCCTGTACCCCCCTAACGCCTGCCATTTTCTCTCACTCTTTTAATCACACACAACAATATGCTGATTCCATTCTCCTTATATCTCATCTACCTTTTATTCTCAATGTAACACAACTAAAAAATGATCTGATATATCTGAGGCCCCTCTATAAATATGCACATCCTGAAGTCTACCTATCAGTCTTTTATCTACCAATACATAGACCAAGAAACAACTCTCTACCAAATATAGTTTACCTAATGTCAGAATTTATTTTTATTTTAGTTTAATATCTTTATTATGCACCCCACACCCATCCTGCAGGCGGTAGTCATACAATTACAGAGGCAAATAATGGGTCCAGAGACTGGGTCAAAGTTTTGATAAGCTGAACAAGTTACAATAATAATATAATATAATTATTTACTACACGTACATGCACAAGGTACAGAGGCCTAGCTGACATCAATGACATACTACTACTATACAGAAAGCCGTTTGTTATGCAGAGCATTTCAGGGAAATTAGGTCAGTTTTGTCCCAGGATACGGCCCACACTAGCATACATAAGGGGGATTACCAACAGACCCCTGGCAGTCTTCAAGCTGGCACTGGACAAGCACCTAAAGTCGGTTCCTGACCAGCCAGGCTGTGGCTCGTACTTTGGTTTGCGTGCAGCCAGCAGTAACAGCCTGGTTGATCAGGCTCTGATCCACCAGGAGGCCTGGTCACAGACCGGGCCGCGGGGGCGTTGACCCCCGGAACTCTCTCCAGGTAAACTAACACCTAGGTACCCATTTTACTGATGGGTGAACATAGACAACTAGTGTAAGAAATGGTAATTAACTATTTACATGTTTATATCTAGTTACAATCATAATGAGTTATTTATACAGACATGAATTAGGTCACCTAGGTAGTAGGTTGGTAAACAGCAACCGCCCAGGAAGGTACTACCATCCTGCCAAGTGAGTGTACAACGAAAACCTGTAATTGTTTTACATGATGGTAGGATTGCTGGTGTCTTTTGTCTGTCTCACAAACATGCAAGATTTCAGGTATGTCTTGCTACTTCTACTTGCACTTAGGTCACACTACACATACATGTACAAGCATATATATACACACACCCCTCTGGGTTTTCTTCTTTTTCTTTCTAGTTCTTGTTCTTGTTTATTTCCTCTTACCTCCACGGGAAAGTGGAACAGAATTCTTCCTCCGTAAGCCATGCGTGTTGTAAGAGGTGACTAAAATGCCGGGAGCAAGGGGCTAGTAACCCCTTCTCCTGTATATATTACTAAATGTATAAGGAGAAACCTTCGTTTTTCCTTTTGGGCCACCGTGCCTCGGTGGGATATGGCCGGTGTGTTGAAAGAAAGAATTAGGTCACACACACGTGCACACACACAAAAAAACAAAGTTGAAGTGGTGATGTGTTAATTACAGTGGGTAAAGTCAGGGTATTTTTCCAGAATGAATGGTAATATACCACTGTGGATAAAATACTTTGACATTTTTTTATTATAATAAAAAAGATCCACTAAACCTATAAGGGTCATACAGCGCAGCAGGGCAGATGATAGTGTAGGATTATAAAGTAAGAAGGGTGGAGTGGACATCAGAGGGAGAGTTAGAATGATATTTTCTGAACATTTATGAGCACGTTGTTTCTGAATTTATTATTTTTTTTCACATTCCAGTACATAATGATGCAAGGTGTGACAATTATCCATCTGGCAAAATTTATGTTTTGTTTAGTCTACATGTGGTGGCAATTTAACCTCGGAGAGATACTGGTAACCCAGCTAGAGCCAGGAAGTAGTGACATTACTGGATGTTCCCAAGACACGTGGCTCCTCCTGCATGATAGAATGATGATAGATGGACTGAGTTATGTCACTCTTCCTCAGTATTAATTCAATGAAGTTCAGTTCATATATATTTTTTTTAACACGTCGGCTATTTTCCACCGAGGCAGGGTGACCCAAAAAGAAAAAAAAAAAATTCATCATTATTCAACACTTTCACCGCCATTCATACAATTCATATTATTGTTCTAAAACTACTGATAGCCCAAGATTGTAACCTACCACCTCTGTCAGAAAAATGAACCTGTTTGTAAGTATGTAGTTAATTGGTTCCAAAATGACAGTGTTGAAAGTACAAAACCTCGCAAGTCAGGGGCCCTACTTTATGTGAATTTTGAAAAATACATGTACTTTTAGATGGCAGGGTTACAATGTAGCAGGTATTACAAAGGTATACAATAGGCATGGTAGGTTATTAAAAGATATTTTTAAGACTAGTGAGAGTCAGGTGTGTAAATGAGGTTATTTTCTATCAAAAGTGGGTCTAGGATGTATATATGTGATGTTACCATGTATTTTAATATAATTTTATACTGGGCTGCAAAAAGAATGAATGCTCTTGTTTAGGAACTAAGTGATTGTAATACATTATTCTTTTAGGGCCACACTTTCTTGGGAAGCAGCTAGTGTAATCACATACACTGAAAAAAATTTCTTGTTTTTTAGTAAAAACTTAACCCAAAGGGAAAGCAAGATTTAATCCTGCATTAATGCTGCAATTCTAAGAGACTCAAATGCTTAGAGCAAGAGGCTGGTTACTCCATTTCTTGAATGTATCTAAATAAATATGCAATATTTTCTTTGAATTACCCTGATTTTGTTAAAAATTATGAACTAGTTAATACAAGGAGGAATTGCAAAATTTAGTGGTGTGGTACTGTGGGTGATATGGGAATTGAATATTATGGGCTGAGATTTGGGAAATTTTTGTCTTAAAGCAGTATAACACTTTAAAAGTAGCATTTATAACAATGAGAACCATAATGAACTGACCAACTATGAAGCAAGGTATTTATAGTCTTTCTTGTGATCTAAGGGATTATTATTGCATTCATGAGGGAGCACTAAACCCATATAGTTCCTAGGGAAATGAGAGGCATTCAGGTTCAATCCAAAGAAAGGGGGGGCAGGTTGTATTCCTCAGATCAAGAGCCCCTCTTTGGCATCAAGTAACCACCCTTGAGAGGTTGTGATAGGAGTTTGAATACATATTCCAAAGGATTTTAGTAATTCCTTTGGATTCATTGTTGGTGTTGCATGTCATGTAATATTATTGCTTTTTTAGCCCTTAAAAAGGGTGTCTTGATGCTGTCGAAAGTCTTTTGATCAGAGGAACTGGAGCTATCCACCCTTTGCTAGATCAAAACTGATTACCTATTATTCCCTAGGCACTGTACTCACCTAGTTGTGGTTGCAGGGGTGATCCTTACAGGTTTAATGCTTTCTAATGAAAAATAATTATGAGTTACCTCATATTCCACAGGTGTTCTTATGAGACTAAGATCATAAGAACACCTGTTATAAATTTAATAATGATAATGTCTCTTGAATCATTTCCTCTCATTGATGATGATGTTGTAGGGTTTAGGGAAATTAAACAGCAAAGCATTGGGATCTTTTTTCAGGTCCCATTCTTCTCCTTCAGGAGCTGAAAAGGTGAAGTTCTGCAGCAATGCCGACAGGAAAAGATAGAGTTCCATGCGAGCTAAAGCCTCGCCTGGGCATACTCGCTTACCTGAAAGACCATTGCATGGGTTATTTGATATCTAGGGATGGGAAAGATTTCGGGCTCCAATAATAGCCACTGTGCTTGAAAAATACAGTAGATTATGTGGCATTAGAATTATCCAGCAATCTTGTTCAATTCAGCACCTCAACAAATAATGCTGAAAATTAATGTGCAACAACAACAACAAAAAAGAAAAACATAAAAAAGTTTACGTAATCATCCGGTGTTTTTGAAATTGTAGTGTGACTGAAAAACCTACATGCTTCCCGCTTCTTTACACCCCGAGAGCTGGATAATCAATTTTCTGTGGTATGAATGTTTTAGGTAGTTACTGCTATACAAATAAGTACAGTAAATCCTTTACGTTACAGATTTTGATTCAACAGACTTGAGAAATACGGGATAAAATTCAGTGAATTAACTGATAGAGTAATAACAGATGAAGTCTGTAGGTTACAGAATCGTCCACCACAATGCCCCTTACTAACCACCCGCTCTTTCCCCATCAGTCCATTACCTGAAGGGTTTACTCTTCTTTCAAATATTTACTACTGGTATCTAGAAAGAAATAACTATATTGGATAACAGGAATTGCATAAAACTTATCATTTCTCTAACAATGACACAATTTTATTTACCTGTGGAGAAGGGAATGTAACTCTCCTTCTTTGTGTTATATTTGCCTTGACTGTCGAGGAAGTGCTCTGGATAGAATTCATTCGGCTTCTCCCAATAGGCTGGATCCTTGTGGCACATCTCTTGGTTACCAATGATCACTGTGCCCTGTGAAATATACATTACTATCAGCTTTTATCATGTCAGATTATTATAATAATTGGGAACTGCTGAACTTATAGGGGCCATATAGCACCTGGGAATGGAAGAATATACAGGTACCAGAGAAACAAATCTGAAACTAAAGATCCTCAAATAATCTGAAGATATTCCTCCCTTTGGATCAAAGCCTGACTTCCATCCATTTTCCAAAATCTGCATGATTGGTTTCATGCTTACCCATGTATGTAATAGAATAGGATTTTGCTGTTAGTACTCCACTTGTTACAGGTATTATATCCAGAGAAAAGTGCCTTGATGCCAATCAATTGCTCTTGATCCATGGATATGGAGCTAGCTTCTCCAGACAGTATGACACCTATAAGTTTGCTACTTTCCCATGAATTTAATAATAATGTAGGTAGTATAAGAAGCTATTTAGAAGTATTGGAAAAAAACATTAATTCATAAGGTAACACCCTGGGATAACTTTGTAATACTATCTCCAAACAATAATTTAAAGGATAATTGTGTGAAACAAGAACAGGCTTGATCCTTCTTGGGAAAGACACAAAATTAGTGAATATAGGCAGTTAGAACATTTGCAGATACTATGCAAAAGCAGTGGTGGGCACAGTTCCGCTAATCCGCTAACCGCTAATAGCAGAACTAACTTTTTGTTTAGTGGATTAGCGTTTCTGCTAAATTCGGAAACCATTAGCAGACCAATTAGCTCCCGCTAAATAAAGTTCTGCTAACTTTGAGTCCACTAAAAAAAATTCATACGTTGTTGGCAGTCAGAAAGCAATGCCTTTTCAATGGTGCAAGTGTTTGTTCCTGTCTGCTGTGGGGGTTTCTCCAAGTCAGTCAGGCACGCTATTGGCTGACTATATGTAAATGTGACTTGTCAACGCAGCAGCAGCAGCATCCGAGCAATGTCAGCGATCACCAGGGTGCATTGTCACTTATCGTTATGAACAGGGGAAAAGTTTCTTTTCCGCCTGAGGGTGTTGTTGAGAGTCTGTAGCAGCTGTGGTTGAAGCAGAGGCTGCTCAGGCTGAGGGCTAGGAGTCACAGAACTCCTGGCCCTCTATTTTGTCCTCAAGTCAAGGGATATGAAGAACGCCAATACAGTGGACCCCCGCTTAACGATCACCTCCAAATGCGACCAATTATGTAAGTGTATTTATGTAAGTGCGTTTGTACGTGTATGTTTGGGGATCTGAAATGGACTAATCTACTTCACAATATTCCTTATGGGAAAAAATTCGGTCAGTACTGGCACCTGAACATACTACTGGAATGAAAAAAGTTCGTTAACCGGGGGCCCACTGTATTTTGTACCTCCGGTGTGTCATGTGCCAGCCCAAGGAGACCATCATCAAGGGAGAGGCAGCGAGCTTATACAACTTCATGTCGCATGTTAAGAGGAAACACCCAGCGCATACCATCAAGTTTCAGGAGAGAATCAAGGCCGGATCTTCTCATAGAAAACACAGGCAATATTCTTGTGGTAGCGCCACTAGCAGGAGCAGCAGCCAGTTGTCACTACCAAAGCACTCAGGACCACCCTTGGCGGAGCATTTGTTGCTGCTGGCAATAGCATCCGTCAGTCTGTGGTGGACATAAAGATTTGTGGAGCCATTCGTCTGCAACATGCTACCGCTGCATGTAGTGGAATCCCCCACCTTTGTCAGCCTGATAAAGATGCTGAACCCCAGCAAGATGTCGATGTCCCGCCGCACCTTGGGCAGGAAGATTTTGGTCAGTCATAAACAGCTGGAGGAGTATCTTATATGGTATTTATGAGTTATAAGCGCTTATTAAACTACTACTATAGATTTTTTTATATTTTCTTAATTTTCGTGGGTACTGCAAGTTATGACAGTTTAGAAGTACAGTACCTTTCCCAGTATTGTAAAGTAAAGAAGTAAAACTACCTGTGTACTGTACTTGAGTAACTTTTCTCGGTGTTTACTTTTCAAAAATTACTGATGCTGTAACGAGTAATGTATCATTATCAGATTGTAGTGAAGTAAAAGTAATAATGGACTTCAGTACTTAAGTAAAGGTAGTGAGCAATTTCAGTACTTTTTAAAATGTAAATACCGAAAAAAGTTGCTCAAGTACAGTACTCGAGTAGTCTTACTTCATTACTTTACAACACTGGTACTTATACTTGAGTATAAGTCTTAAAAGTAAAAGTAAAAGACCAAAAAACTAAACCAAATATGAATTCATGTGAAAAAGTTAGCAGTTAGCGTTAGCTTCCACTAATTTTTTTGGCTGTTTAGCGGTTTAGCGTTAGCGGAGCTAATTTTTTAGAGGATTAGAGGTTAGCGAAGCTAATTTTTCGGTTAGCTATGCCCACCACTGTGCAAAAGGTACATGTCTATATGGCAGAGCTTGCTGGAATAAACACAACAGAAAATGTGCGAATATGTTGAGAAAGAGAAAGTATTGCTCTGACAAAGAGTACAGGTACTTCCACCCAGTGATGTGCAAAGCTTCAACACAGTTCAGAGAATGTTATGGCCTGAGCAACCCGGACCATCATGTAAAAGGAATGCAGCACAACAGAGAAAGCAGAGAAAGGGAAAATAAACAGCAATCTTTTTTAGACAAAGTGAAATGATCAGACCAAAGAAAGAGGAAAAAAGGGGAAATGCTACAGATACGACAGATGTGCAGCACAATGGGACATACCAAACTAGGCATCAGCTCATCAGAGCAGGATACACAATCAAATGCAGTCAGTACTGGAGAAACCAAGAGTATGTACACCAGGGGCCATACCAGGTAGTGCATCACCAGTGATACTAACAAAACACACAGCAAAACAAAACGAAACATCCCAAATGGTAATTCCTGCTTCATATTTGCAAATATTCAGGGTTTGAAATCAAATAAAAATGGCAAAATTAGTCATGTCAGTTGGCTCCTATCAGTGCTCGTGTGTGTGCACGCTCGTGTGGGTGTATGACCCACTTAATATTTGTATCTATAACTCATTACAATTGTGACCTGGTGTGGACATGTCAGTGGCTCATTACTTTGTAATTTGTTCATAATTGTAACCATGTATAGGAGTGAGGATGATTCATTACCTTTGTAACTAGTTCATGTATCATAATTTTGGGGTCCAGTCCCTGGACCATTATGTACCTCTGTAATCTTTTGACTACCACCCACAGGATGGGTATGGGGTGCATAATGAAGATATTAAACAACAATCAGAAGTGAATGCCATATTTGGAGCATTTACAGAAACACATACAAAGGATGTTTTGGATGGAGAGATAAAGATGAACAACTATAACATGTATAGATGTGATAGAATTAATAGATCACAGGGAGGAGTAGGACTATGTAAAAGATACTTTCATTTGCACAGAAGTGCTGAATTCTATGTATGATATGTAGTAGAAATCCTAGGCATTAAAGTTGAAAATAGGTATTTGGTAATTATCCTAGTACATATATAAACGTCCATCAGCAACTGCTGAGGAATTGACAGATCAGTTAAGGAAGATAGATAGCTATCTAGATAGGCTAGAAAATCCCACACCAAATATTTTACCCCCTGGAAATTTTAATCTCCCTCATGTAAACTGTTGAGCACCCTGGCTCAACAGGCACATCCCAGGGAACTAATGAGGCTTTGTGAAAAGTATGCATTGAACCAACAGATAACTGATCCCACTAGAAATAAAAATACCCTTGATTTGATATTCACAAATAATGAGGAACTAATCAGAGACATAACAGTTACAAAAGCAATACAGCCTCTCCTCACATAGCGACGTACTCGTTTACCAATGCCTCGGACTTACAACGGGCTCTCTGATCAGTATGCTTACCTAAATGTATATTAGAGATGATTTCCTCTATTCTGTTTATTACAATTTACAGTACACTATTGTATAAACATTTAAAAATACAGTAATACCCCGGTTTTTGTCCTTAATTCGTTCCAGAAGGTTGGCCGAAATCCAAAATGAACAAAAACCGAAGTAATATTTCCCTTATGAAATAATGTAACTCCAATTAATCTGTTTTACATACAAAAACAATGAGAAATAAATAGTATAAATGACTAATTTTAATGATAAATGAACATTACATATCTTTATTGAAGACTCTTGTTGGTGTATGGAAGAAGCCGAGAAGGGAAGAGGGAGTTGGTTATTGTTTGGAAAGGAATCCCCTTCCATAAGGACCTCAGGTATCAAAGCCCTATCCAGGGTTACTTCCCTTCTTTGTCTTTTACTGGCACAAGGGCCAGCTTGAGAGTCACTGCACCCCTGTCACACAAAAAAATCTGTCCAGAGAGGCCTGTTTCTGGTGTCTCTTAAGATTTGCCTAAAATGAGACGAGACATTGTCATTGAACATGTTGCAGATACAGTTTGCAGCAGTTTTGTTAGGGTGATAATTCTCCGCAAAACTTTGAAACTCACTCCACTTTGCACACATGTCCTTAATCACTGAAGAAGGTACATCCTCCTCTCTCTCTTCCTCCTCCTCTGAAGCAATTTCCTTAGCTGCAATCTGTTGTTGTTCCAGTTGAAGATCTTGCAGCTCTTCCATGGTTAGCTCTTCTCTGTGGTCCTCCACCAACTCTTCCACATCTCATACATTCTGGCGAGCTCAGCCACACGTACGCCACTTTCACATTTTGCTACAAGTTCTTTCTTGAATTCTATTGTGTTTCTCACCTTCTTTATCAAAGAGCTGGCACTCTGAACTTTCTTTGGCCCCATGGTGGCTTATTTCACAGTTGCAATCAATAAACAAGCACAAAAAACAATGGATGAACACATGGAATATTGCTAATTCAATGAGAGACACAGGAAAACTGAGTCTGGTATGTGTGAGAAGTGGTGTCCCATGCAGCTGGATGCATCTGATACGGACGATTTCTGAGCGGATGTACGAAACCCGGGGGAAAATTTCACCCAAAAAATTGCACGAAATCCAAATTGTACAATTTCCACACTAGACGAAAACCAGGGGTCCACTGTATACCAGAAATGTTATAAATGGTGCAAAGTTGACATTAAAACAATATCAAAGATGGCTGACACCAACCCACTGCCATCAGAGTATGCCTCTCTCTTAGCGATGAATTTGTTTACCGACATGGTCTTAGGAATGGAACCCCGTCATTAAGTGAGGAGAAGCTGTATAATACTCTGATCACAACATCATAGAAGTTCAAATGAGTATTAACTCAGGGTTAGGGAACTGCATCACTAACGTTCAGCAAGTTTAATTTTAACAACCCCAGAATTGACTGGGAAGAAATAAACCAAGAGCTATCAGACAAGAGCTATTAGACATGAGCACCCTAAATCCCAACAAGTGCCTAGAGAGGCTGAATATAGATGCATACAAGGTATGTATGAAACATGTACCATTGAGGAAACCCAGATGATCAGATATATAGAGAGGGAGAACATAGGAGATGGTAGAGAAGAAGAAACCAGGTTACAGAATTGCTTAGTAAGTAAGTAAGTAAGTAAGTAAGTAAGTAAGTAACTAGGTGACCCGGTGGTCTGGTGGCTAAAGCTCCCGCTTCACACATCTGAGGCCCGGGTTATGATTCCCGAGGGTGAAACATTTGACACGTTTCCTTACACCTGTTGTCCTGTTCACCTAGCAGCAAATAGGTACCTGGGTGTTAGTCGACTGGTGTGGGTCGCATCCTGGGGGACAAGATTAAGGACCCCAATGGAAATAAGTTAGACAGTCCTCGATGACGCACTGACTTTCTTGGGTTATCCTGGGTGGTTAAAAATCCGAACGAAATCTTATCTTATCTTATCTTAAGTTTATTCAGGTATACACAAATACAGTTACATAGAATTATCATACATAGCAGCATATGTGTAGAGAACCTAGGATAACCCAAAAAAGTCAGACAGAGTGACTTATTTCCATTGGGGTCCTTTTACCTTATTATAATATTAAGGTTATAATATTATACTAAAAAGACAACACAATTATTATAATCAAAAAAAGTGTTAAACCATTAAAAACACAAACATGCTGCAACAGAGGAAAGATAGTCTTTGCCAAGAGATCACTGAATTAGAGCAAAAACTTAGGATGTCATACTTAACAGAACAAGCACAAAGGGAACAAAGGGCCATAGAGTATATTGCAAGAAACCCAAAATATTTCTCTTCCTATGCAAAATCCAAGCTAAGAACTACCTGTAGAATTGGACCATTACTGAGAGGAGATTCATATACTGATGACGAACAGGAAATGTGTGAAATCCTAAAAGAACAGTATGATTTGGTGTTCAGCAACCCACTAAATGATAGCAAGGTAGAAAATGCAGAAACATTTTTCACTCCAGCAGGCCACACAAATCAACTAACATGCCCGGTGGCCTGGTGACTAAAGCTCCTGCTTCACACATTGAGGGCCCGGGTTCGATTCCCAGCGGGTGGAAACATTTTGACGTGTTTCTTTACACCTGTTGTTGTCCTGTTCACCTAGCAGGAAATAGGTACCTGGGTGTTAGTCGACTGGTGTGGGTCACATCCTGGGGGACAAGACTGAGGACCCCAATGGAAATAAGTTAGACAGTCCTCGATGATGCACTGACTTTCTTGGGTTATCCTGGGTGACTAACTCTCTGGGGTTAAAAATCCGAATGAAATCTTATCTTATCTTACCTGGAAAGTGCTCAAGGGCCTGGTTCCAAATCTGTGCAATGCCATAACAACATACTGGAGTAAGAGATATGGGAGGAAGTGCAAAATAAACCCAGTGAGGAGCAGGGGTGCAGTGGTGACAATAAGGGAACACTGTATCAACATTCGGGGTACCACATTATTCAACATCTTACCAGAAGATATCAGAGACACGGCTGGAACAAGTGTAGAAGCCTTCAAGAGAAAACTGTACAAGTATCTTCACCAGGTGTCAGATCAACCAAGCTATGATGGATATGTGGGGCAGTGGGCCTCCAGCAGCAACAGCCTGGTCGACCAGGCAAGCACCAAATGAGCCTGGCCCTTGGCTGGGCTCTGAGAGTAGTGAACTCTCAAAACTCTTCAAAGGTAAGGTATATCCTTCCAGGCTTAATCTTCTGACCTCCCCAACAGATGTGAATGTGACCACCCAGCCATGGAGGGTGACTCCAAATAATAAATGCAACAAATATGTTAGCTCATTGCAGTCACTGTGGGCATAATTTTTTTTTTAAGTTAAGCACTTAATTTTGAAATTTATTAATATGCTTTTTTTCTAAAGAGTTAGGAAAATGTGCTAATCTTTATTTTATATTCAACTATAAATGACTAGTGCATTGTGTATTTTTTATTTTGATCACTTTTATGTAGTATTGTGTAAGGGAGAATACCGGCGAATAAAAAAAAAAAAAAGGTCTGTCCCATCGACACCATGCCTAACCCTTCTAGGGTAGGGTAGGTGCCTGAGCCCGAACCTTTAGCTCATAAGACTGTCATTCCCATTTGCCCCCTTGTGGCGGGGATGGCAGACCAGAGAGGCCTAGCTTGTGGCTAGGCCTGGTGACAGTTGGTCCCAAAGATGAGGAGGTACTTGTGCCTCCTCCCATGGGAGACTTAGGTCTCAGACACTCCCTAAAGAGGGAGCCAAGGCCGGGCCACCACTTGGAAAAGGCCCGGGCCGGGAGAATACCGGCTAATCTTTAATAGTAAATAATAATAGGTCTGTCCAATGAGAACTTGCAGTAAGCATCTGCACCGTTGCTTATAGCAGTTGGCTTGTAGCCAGCAAATCACCTATGTATGGCCAGCTATGTATGGGCACATTTTGTTTAGTGATCTCAGTAGGACTAAGAGAGAGTATCTCTGCATAGAAACAAGTGGTACTGAATGATGTGTACAGGAAGGCCCCGCTTATACAGCAGGTTAGGTTCCAGGCTGCTGCTGTACCTGGAGTTTACCTGGAGAGAGTTCCGGGGGTCAACGCCCCCGCGGCCCGGTCTGTGACCAGGCCTCCTGGTGGATCAGAGCCTGATCAACCAGGCTGTTACTGCTGGCTGCACACAAACCAACGTATGAGCCACAGCCCGGCTGGTCAGGAACCGACTTTAGGTGCTTGTCCAGTGCCAGCTTGAAGACTGCCAGGGGTCTGTTGGTAATCCCCCTTATGTATGCTGGGGGGCAGTTGAACAGTCTCGGGCCCCTGACACTTATTGTATGGTCTCTTAACGTGCTAGTGACACCCCTGGTTTTCATTGGGGGGATGTTGCATCGTCTGCCAAGTCTTTTGCTTTCGTAGTGAGTGATTTTCGTGTGCAAGTTCGGTACTAGTCCCTCTAGGATTTTCCAGGTGTATATAATCATGTATCTCTCCCGCCTGTGTTCCAGGGAATACAGGTTCAGGAACTTCAGGTGCTCCCAGTAATTGAGGTGTTTTATCTCCGTTATGCGCGCCGTGAAGGTTCTCTGTACATTTTCTAGGTCAGCAATTTCACCTGCCTTGAAAGGTGCTGTTAGTGTGCAGCAATATTCCAGCCTAGATTGAAACTGAGTGAAACAGGTTTTTTTTTCACTTTCAAATGCATATAAAAGCCTGATAACATGTTTACACTATCATACATTAATGAACAATAGAGCTAGGCCTAAAAAGTGCATGTACAGTACATACATTACTTACCTTAAAATATTTTCGTCCTTAGCTTGTAGTGAGTGGTGAATATATTTATTTAAGAAGTCTGAATAAATGAAGAATGGATATATGTACAGTAATTGAAAACTGCTGTATTAGTGCAGAGCTGTGAAGTGCAGCTCGCCTGTATGTACTTCTGATAGAGTGATGTCAGCAAGGCTGACATTGTACCACTAGCTTCTGTGCAAAGGCACTCTTAGCACAGAAGCTAGTGGTACTGTCATTATTACAGAATAGTGATGTCATTATGGCTGAATGAGTGTACATTTGCACTGAAGTCATAAAATGTGTGCATTGACAGTAGTATTGTGAGAGAATATACCTTTATACAGTAGCGTGAGTGTGTATTTTATATACCTTTGGAATTTTGAATCCAGCAATTTGAGTGTCATTAGCTGCAAAGTGTGAAAGTCCAAGTGCCGTCACAGACACGGATCTGTTGACCTCACTGATCACTGCCTCCAGGTATGCCAATCTAAGGGATACACAGACATTAACAGCAGTTTTACTGATAATTATCACAGCATTTCCTAAATTTATGTGGTGAAGAAGCACCTGGAAAAAATGGAAAATTTAATTTTGTCTATGAAGGAAGCTGAACTCTTTTAGTGATACCTGTCCTTTCATATTACAACACTCATGAAGAGTCTTGAGGGCAATCACTTTTTCCTGGTCTTTAATAAACATGCTTCTTTAGGGATAGGATAAGAACAAAAGGCTCAGTATTGCTTGACTGAATCATCGTTTTTAGCTTATTGTGGCGAAGCTGAAGCAGCCATTAGAGGCTTGGCCTCCTCCCCTTTCAAGGGAGTTATTTTGATTCTTGTGGAAATTTATTTGGTCCCTAAAGTTCCACAGGACAGATACGGCGTACGAAGGGGTCCCAGCCTAGCTGTAATGGAACGGCTGAGCTGGGTGGCCCTTAAACCCACCCAAACAAAGCGTTCTCCCCGAGTTGGCGTGGTTGGTAAGCTTATTTAATTTATAGATTTACCCTTCAGGGAAGGAGTAGGTAGTTTTACTGGTAGTACACTAATATTAGGATCATTGAGGCAACTGTAGATAATAATAATGTAGACCTAAGACCTTAACATAGATAGTAATAGGCCGATAATGTAGGCAAACACTAGGTTAAGTTAGCTAGGGAGAACTGGCAGCCCTAGCTTGAATGACGAGGCGCGGGTCTTAAAGACACAATAGCATCCTTCTTAAGACAGACACCAACTGGACAAGACGTGCCGTGATCAGCAGACGGCGCCCCCCATGTGTCTTCACATTTGAGACCTAGGGAAATCTGGTAGAGGCACCTCGATGTACCATAGATGACCTCCGTCAGGCCCATACAGTAAGACAAGACCTCCACTTTATCTCGTAGATTTCTGGCCAGTGTCTGGGGAGAATTGTGAGTGAGTTTGATCTGTGGGCCTGTGTTGCAGCTGGCAGTGCATGCCCAGTAAGTACCAGTGTCTCTTGACAGTCTGGAAGCTAGTGTCCGTGTCTGCATAGCTATACTAGGGGATACATACCCTCTTGGATATAGGAATTTCTGAGGTGCAGGCAGGTCACTAATAACGATTGAATATTGCAGGAATTAAGGCTCCCGGTTGCACGTGGTTTCTGAGGGGAAGTCCAAAGGGGCTAAGGCTAAGCTTAGGGAAGTTGAAGATCAGGATATATGCTGCAACACCAAGTAAGTTAGTCCTTTATACATACATGCAGGCGAGTTTCTTGCAACATCAATCATTTGTGAAAATCTGTCCTATAAGCCACTTGTGAGGCTGAGGTACCCACCTCAGAGCTCGGTGGCAACAGAGTTTGCCAGGGTAGGCGACTCACTTGGAGGCAGTCCACACAAATTTTCACAATTCTGGTGAAGGGCTCTTGATTCAAGGAATTGACACTATCGTTTTAATTTAAATTTGATTATCTCTCATTTCTCAGGTGACATGACTCCTATGGGCTTAGTACAGTGAATTATTATTATAATAAAAAAGAAGCGCTAAGCCACAAGGGCTATACAGTGCTGCAGGGTAGGGAAGGAAGCGAGGCTATTGGGCGGCAGAAGGGGGGAGGGATGATCAGTAGGTTACGGAAAACAGTGGGGCAGGGGATAGTGTGGGGGTAGAGGGTAGCAAGAGATTGAGGTAGAAAGGGCTGAAGGCATCAGAGTTTGTGAAGTAAGTCAGCTGTTGTCAAAAAGTCAATGAGAGTCCGGATGAAAGGTGGGTCCATCAGCGAGAAGGGAAGGTAAAGAGAGAGCAATAGAGCGAAGACGACGATGGAGGTAAATTCTGCATGCTCATTGATAAAGTGGGCAGTCCAACAGAATGTGGCTGACTGATAATGGAGCCTGACAATTCTCACAGAGAGGAGCAGGGCGCCTCTCCATGAGATATCCACGAGTAAGACGAGTATGGCCAATGTGAAGATGGGAGAGAGTAGTCTCCCAACATCGACACTGGTGACAAGAGACGGCCAGTAACCTATACTCGGTTTAATAAATTGAAGTTTGTTACCGAGCATAGTGAAGACGTTTCGCCATCCAGTGGCTTTATCAATACAAATTCTAGGACATAACTTGAAGACAGTAGGACTATATACAGAAGATGAGGTAATCAGTCCCTCAACCTAGGAGTAGGTGCGAAGAGCACCATAGTCGTGGATATTATGGTGCTCTTCGCACCTACTCCTAGGTTGTGGGACTGATTACCTCATCTTCTGTATATAGTCCTACTGTCTTCAAGTTATGTCCTAGAATTTGTATTGATAAAGCCACTGGATGGCGAAACGTCTACAATAAAGATACCCAGATGTTGCGCTTGTGTCTTAATTTCATCTTGTCGGTATTATATACCATTCTTGCACAACCACCGAGCATAGTAGACCAACGTTGTTGCCAACGGGTGTGAAGGTGGGTAGCTATTGCAGCAAAATAGTCCGTAAATGGAATACCTCTATATGAAACTGGTAGGTCATGTACTGCTGACCGCGCAGCAGTGTCTGCCTGTTCATTGCCCTGTACGTCAACATGACCAGGGACCCAACAAGAAACAATATCTTTATGCTTGGTAAAGATGCGGCATAGCCAAAGTTGGATACGAAGGACTAAGGGGTGAGGTGTATCAAATTTCCGTATAGCCTGTAAAGCACTAAGGGAGTCTGAGACAACCACAAATGATGACACAGGCATAGATGCAATACGGATAAGTGCTGCAAGAATGGCATACAATTCAGCAGTAAAAATACTAGCCGAAGATAGTAAATGCCCTCGTACGATGCTGTCTGGAAACAATGCTGCGAATCCTACGCCGTCAGAAGACTTAGAGCCATCTGTGTACACTGCAATGGCATGAGAATGAGAGTGGAAGTGGTCAAGAAAAGGAGAGCGGGAAGTGACCGTAGGCAGTTGGGCTTTCGAGTAAGGGAGAGAGAAAGAACAGACCCAAACAGCTGGAACTTCCCAGGGGGGTAGGGAAAAGTGAGATGCTACATGAACATAGAAAGGTGGTAATTGAAGAGAAGACAAGAGCGAATGTAGGCAAAGAGAGAAGGGATGGAGTAAACAGGGGCGGCGAACAAATTGAGAATGTCTACTAATATCAGTGACCATTCTATAAATGTAAGGATTGCGGATATCATGAGAGCGTACATAGTAGCGAAGGCAATGGGCATCACGGCGATCGGATAAAGATGGAACGTTCGCTTCTGCATAGAGGCTTTCAACAGGGGAAGAGCGAAAAGCACCAAGGTATAAATGTAATCCTTGGTGATGAATGGGGTTAAGGTTAAAGAGAGTAGCAGGAGAAGCCGCTGAATAGATCTGGTCACCATAATCAAGTTTCGATAAAATGAGGGTGGAATGTAGGCGAAGGAGAGTTCGACGATCAGCTCCCCATGAAAGATGAGCAAAGGTTTTAAGAAGGTTCAGCCGGCTGTGACAAGTTGCCTTCAGAGAGGTAATTTGAGGTTTCCAGGATAACCTATGGTCAAAGAGGAGGCCCAGAAACCTGACTGTATCACGTTCAGGGATACGGGAGCCATAGAGGTACAAAGGATGATTAGAGATGACAGAGTGTCTAGTGAAAGTAATTTGGTGAGTTTTGGTGCTGGAAAATTTAAACCCATGTGTGGTGGCCCAATTGGAAACATGGTCGACCGCATGCTGGAGAGAAACTGTAATGAGGAGACAGTCAGTGCCTGCACAGGCAATAGCGAAGTCATCAACATAGAGTGATGACCAAATATTTGATGGAAGACTAGAGGCCAAATCATTTATAGCAAGGAGAAAAAGTGTTGTGCTCAAAACACATCCCTGGGGGACACCTTCAGCTTGGATAAAGTCCGGGGAGAGCACATTATTAACCCGAACATGGAAATGCCTGTCAGTTGAAAAGTTCTTAAGGAAGGATGGTAGATTGCCTCGAAGGCCTAAGGAGTGGGCTTGGGCTAAAATATTATACCTCCAAGTTGTGTCATATGCCTTCTCAAGGTCAAAAAATATGGCAATAACTGAGTGGTTATTCGCAAAGGCATTACGAACATACGTATCCAAGCGTAGTAAGGGGTCTATGGTAGAACGTCTCTTACGAAAGCCATGTTGACGAGTGGAGAGACTGTTGTGTTCTCTATTTACCAGGCGTTCCATCACCTTGCAAACTGCACTGGTAAGAACAATGGGACGATAGTGGGAGGCTTCATGTCCCGTTGTGCCTGGTTTGCGGAAAGGGAGAACAATGGCAGATTTCCACAGCTGTGGAAGAACTCCTTGTGACCAAATAAGATTGAAAAGGCGTAATAGGACTGCAAGGGCTGACTGATGTAAATGTTGTAGCATACTAATATGAATGTCGTCGGGCCCAGCTGCTGATGATTGGCAAGCTGAGAGTGTTGCCTCCAGTTCTTGAAGTGTAAAAGGCACATTATACTGTTCTTGTCTGAGAGAAGAAAAGTCCAAGGGTGCTAACTCTCTGGCAGACTTTAAGGAAAGAAACGAGGGGCATAGATGGAGCCCCTGAGAAATACAGACCAGATGATTGCCAATTTCATTGGTAACATCTAGTGGGTTTGCTATATCAACACCGGCAACCCGCAGAAGGGGAGCCCGGTCAGGAGAATATTCACCACTCAGTTTTCGTACTTTTTTCCAGACTGCACTCATAGAGGAAGCAGAGGTGATGGTGGAGACATAATCTCACCAGCAAGTGCGTTTAGCGTCACAGATGACACGGCGAGTGATCGCACGCTTCTGCTTAAAATCAAGAAGTCTCTCCATGGTTCTATTGTACCGGTACCTGCCCCATGCAGCGTGTTTCAAACGTACTGCACTAGCACAAGCAGGAGTCCACCAAGGCACGCATTTCTGAGAATGCCTGCCCAAAGTTTGGGGTCGCTCCTGTTTGTCTCAACTATTGGATCACTACGACAAGGTCCTAGATGCACTAGAAGACAAAAAGAATACAGATGTAATATATACAG